TGCACCTATTTTAGTTTATATGTGCATATGTTAGCCAGGGATGGTAAAACATAGCTGTTAGACAGATTCCTTTGGTAATGTAAGTTCTGCAACCATAGATTAGATTAATTCAATCAGTGGCATGTTCAGGGGGTAGGCATACATGTTTCAGTATAGATCTCTAATATTACAATCATTGCAACTGGTTTGCATTTTTTCTGTTTGCATATTGTCCACAGATTCTAAAAATATATTTCTTGTCCGTCCGGATATTTAAAAAAGTGGAAAATTATTGGTATTTTGAGAGATGCTACATGTAAATTTTGTACATTTTTCATCACATGGCAGTAAAAAATTATATTCTTGAAAAAAATTCCAAATTATGAGTGTTTTGTATGTAGTTTCTTTGTTACTTGTCTAATTTTTTCACAGAACTCAGATACTGCCTTTAATAAGAAAGATTTTTAAATTTTAGCACAAAAGGCCTATGGACCTGAGATGCACCAGTGTACATAAAGCAGCATGTGTACTTAAAGGGCCATCATTTTTACAGTTATTCTTTGATTTTGATTTTCTTTCACCGGCATGTTGCCAGAACACATGGGAAGGAAATAAAAAAGGCCTTTTGGTGATCCCTGAAGTTTCACCCCTATATAGGACACAGATCACCAAATATTCCTACGCCGTCACCCACGAAACAAGGGCCAAAGCTATTTTTAGTCTTCCTCTCCCTTTTCCTTTTTCCCCCTTTTGCATGGCAATTTTTGTTGACTTTTTGGTGTAGAATTGAGGAAAAGGGTTTGAAAATACATTTTCTGCCAGGTTTTGGTGAATATTCATAATTTTGATGCGGAAGGATACAAGAGTTGAGAGGTTGGTTACGTTGAAATGTAGGGCCTGAAATTGCATGTTTACTTGTCTCTACTTCCAGCTTGTGTATCTCAAGTTTTTCATGAAGAACCTCATACGTGCTTTTGGGCAAGTGGTTGCCACATGTTGCTCCATCTGTGGTAGAAAGCGTTCTACCCAACGAAAATTTGGGAAAAAGTTAGAGCCGGTCTAAGATACGAGAATTAACATTGGAGTCAATGGGAAATCTTTAGTGATCTGTGTCCATTTCTTGGGCGTAAACATCTTGTTTTAAGAGGAGTTACTTCCCTTAGACGTTGTTTATGACAATGTAATAGACTATCGTCTAGCCAATTTTTCTCAAATGTTGACAACGCATCCAGACTAATATTGGTAGAATATTTTTCTGGATGATAGAGACTAGAATTGCTGTCAATATTTATTTATTTGTGCATGTAAGAAGGGATCGGGTGATAAATAAAACCTACTTTTAAAAATCGGCAAAATAGAGTTTTCAATTCCTTAATTTGTAAAATAATACTTGCAGATCATTAATAAATCGTAAATACATAAAATACAGTTTGGTATGAATAATAACATTGCTGTGCTGGCTATATATAAGCTTTTAATTACACAATTTTTTAAAAATCTTTTGTATTTTCAGCAGAACTGTACTGCCTGGTAGCCTACCTGTCTTTTGTTTGCTACCTAGGGGCCTAGGGGAGTGCCAGCTTGTGAAGCAAATATATTTCATGTTGATTTATTGTGATACTGATAAATATTTGTATGTTTTATTTATGTTATTTACTTCTTTTCATATTGTGTGTGTGTGTGGGTGGGGGGGGTATAAATATTGAGACACTAGACACTAATATATTGATAAAGTATTTTATATTATGTATTTATTTATTTATATTTTTATTTTTTTTTATTTCATTTTTTTTTTTTTGGGGGGGGGGGGGATATTATTATTTTCATTATTTTATTTGTTTTATTTTAATACTCAACAAGGGATTTGGTTTAAATTGTTTGATTGTATTATATCATTATTGATTTTAATTTTGTATAGTTGAATTAAGCAGAATTATTTAATTTTATGTATTTCAAACATCAGAAAATAAACCATTCAAGCTATGTGTAATGTGTTTGTGTGGTTATGTTGATGGTTAAATAGATTGAGAATTGAAGCCAAATGACCAATTTTCGCGAAAAAGGGATCTGTCAGTTGGTGTTACAGAATTCAGTCAATTTTGCTCCGATATTGATAAGGTTGGTTTTGTTACAATGCTAAGATGTATGGCTTTTCAGGACATAACACGGTTCTGGAGAAAAATTAGTATTTAAAAATAGCTGCCGGTCGATATGTAAGGATATGGGTTTACTGTTCCATGTAATTAAATTAATCATTAAAAATATAACCTACAATTTTTGTTTCAATTAACTAAGTTAATCTTAACAATAATATTAGGCTGTTGCATTTTGTGATTTAAATAATTTAATCTTATCAGTTGAGGAAGAAAGAGTTGGTATTTCAATCTAATAAGGTGCCTATAAATTATATAATTATGATTTATTATAATTATGTAACATTAACATTGTCTGATCGCTTTATTTAATAATACATTTATTAATTTATCATAAAAGTATTGTTAATTAAAGATGCGTTTTTAAATGTTAAACAGGCATTATGTAAGAGCTAAATCTGCTTATTGCAGGTCTTTCTTTGGGCCTTAAATATTATGTAAATTATCAATTAGACATTTATTAACATGAAAAGACCATAATCAACTCTCGATGCCATCTGATTGCTCAGATTTTAAATAGATTAGAACGGTATGGTGGTAAATTTTCAATATATTCAATTTGCATTATCTATTTTTGAAATGTTATAGTTAATAGCGAGAATGACCAGCTCTTTATCTAAATCTTACATAATTCCCCTTCAAATTTATGTCTATTGTTATTGTATTATTTTAATTTAGGACATAAAGAAATATATTTTGGTTCTCGCTTGGATGACATGTTTTAATTTTATTTTTTAAAAAAAAACCCTAACAAAACAGTCTTGTTAATTACTGCATGTAAATATTTTACCCCGGTTACACGAAGTAATTCTGTAAAAAAATTTGACTAGATCTATAGGCTAATTTGTCAAGTATGCAAACAAGTTAAATGTTAATGACATGAATGATATTGGATACCGTAATCATATATTCATATAAACAACATGATGAGATAAATGTAGTGCCTTACAATTTTTAAAAACTCATCTGTTTCAAACAGCTAAAGACTTCGTGTAGGTATGTTTTGTCAAGCACTATGAACACAATTTTTGCAGAGTTTTGGCGCTATAGAAATGGACGTTCATTATATTTATTTATTTGGTTCTTCTGGAAAAATACATACATCTATTTAAACACCAAAAGTACTTAGCTGTTCTGTTCAAAATCTTATAGTTCCAAATTTTTAAACAAAACATCTTTCACATGATTTAATTAGCTATTTATTTTTATATCGAAGCCCGAAGAACAGGAAATCAAATTGGTGTGGCCAACATTGAAATATCAGATACCAAGGATGAAGTTGCCTTTATCAACTCTTGTAAATCTTTTAATGTACAGGATTCCTGGAAGCATCTATTTTAGAACAAAAATTCCTTTTCATTGATAACTAAAGCAATAATTCCTTTTTTATTTAATACTAATAGTGTTTTCTTTTTCCTTATATATAATTGTTATATCTACCGAAGCTAATTTAATTTCTCAACAAAGCCTAGATCAAAAAGACTATGAAATAATTGCTTACATTGGGGTGGATTTATATAAGTAAACTTTTTTCCAGATGTGCAAGCTGAAAAAAAAAGTATGTGTATTTTTTTTTTTTTTTTTGGGGGGGGGGGGGGTCTGCATTTATAAAATTAAATGACAGAGGGACTTACAATAAATAAATGGCTATTTTCTAAAATTATTAATGAGGCCTAGATTGGAAAAGAATTTTGTAGGGATATTTACATCTTTATCAACTAAAGTATACAAACAAAGCTGAATTTATTTTAAAAAATGCACATTTGAATATAAACAAGATTTTTAAAACTGTTCTAATATACCATGTAATTGATAATAAAATGCAACATCTAATTTTATTAATCATACTATAGATAGGCCTATACCGTAGGCCTGTGTGTGGCACAGAGGTGCGGGTTAGTTAGCTCGCAATATAACCTTTTTCCTTTGGCAAATTAAATTGTAGAACATTTTATTTGAAGTATTAGAAAAATAAAAATAAAGGTGTTTGAAGTATTATCTCTATATCAAAAATATTTCCTAATTTTAGTGTAAATTGGTACGGTACATGTCATGAATGAAGAAAGGCATTTTTTGCCCATTTGTAACCTTTTTTCAACTTAACGTCACACAGTAGCTATTTAATGTTTTGCAATAATCTAAAAATATTTTGGAAGGAGATATCTTGTTCTTTTTTTTCATATAATTTTTATATACGTGTTCATTTTATTAATTTCATAAACGTAAGTTTCAAAAACGTCAATTTCGCGTGTCACTGTGCGTACATACTGTCGAAAGCTAGACCGGAAGTAAACAACCCCCCCTGCGCAAAAAAATATGCGCACGAACCAGAACGCAACATCACGTAAAGGGCTAAAGACGAGTCGGCAATCATACGGTATTATCTATGTTGCAACGAAAGTATACATTTAATTTTAGTCAACAAAAATCACATACACGAGTTATCTCCCATGAACCTCCGATTTGGACACAAAGCAGCGAGGCTTCTTAAATTCAACTTAAAACTGTTATTTTGTGTTTCCACAGTCAATATTTTTGGAGAAATTGAGTGTTATTGGGTAATTCGACGCAAATTGTTATTTTGGGGTATGGCCTATTTAATTCGACGCACCACGCACCCCGACGCGCCCTACGTTATCATAATCATGATGCATATATTTGAAATGAATTCCGGTAGTCTTTCAAATAAATACACCTACGGCGCCTTCATTTGGCCTGTGGAGAGATCAAAATAGTTATTCGTTATATTATAATGTAATATGCATTTAAAATAAATTAGTTTTGTGGGAGGAATCGGGGGTTTTCGAAGTGAATTCCGGTGATTATATGTGAATTCCGGTGATTGTAAATGAATTCCGGCGATTACTCTACCCGGGTCAGTAAACCCCATTTCATTCATTCAGTCTATGTCATTTAAATGATTATTTACCATGCATTGTTGGGGTTTTAACTTTCTAAATTAGGCATACTCATACAGTTAAACAATACATGTACTTCTATATCTTATCATCTGTTGTGTTTCGTTCCGCACAAAACAGCTGACATTCTTGGCAATAGGCCTAATATGTGTTTCTATACGTGTGTATAATAAACGTACAGACTACAGGAATAGTTCATATGAATGGACCGTTAAGTAATAACACGTTGGGTTGAGCGGTCCCAAAGCAGGACTCTATAGCTGATTCTGCGTCGATAAGTGCTGAACAGTTACGATACTGAACATTATATAAGAAGATATCAGTAGAGAGGAGGAAATAATAAAATATCTCATATGGGTAAGTAAAACAGTTATATAGTTCGAATTTAATGTTTATAATCTGTTAAATTTGGGCCAGTTCATAAAGACATAATTTCTTTAATAAGATTTTCAAATACAAACATTCTTAACATAACAAAACGATAAAAGCCTGCATGTTGCTGTTGAATTATAGTAACACGAAGTATATTAAAGCCTTATATTATGTATTTTTAAATGGTTTGGATGGCCGAGTGGTAAGCACTTGCGCGCTGTAAGGTCTGTCACTGAGTCAACTGGCGTGGTTTCGATTCCCCGGTTGTACGTGACAAGGAGTAGGGTCGCCTGTCCAACCACATGTGTTTTCTCCGGTTTCCTCCCTACTGCTATTAGGCTAAAGACCCCTACGCACAAGCGAATTATTGTAATAAAATTGAACCATGCGTTAGTCCCGAGTGTCGAGTGGACCCCATTACTCTCTCTCTCTCTCTCTCTCTCTAGCATTAAATCGTCCAACAAACACAAAATGTATTAGGGCTCGAGTCCCTGAACACACGCCCTAAGATATGAAGCTACCCGAGCATTATCCTATTCGGAAATGTGCCCCCAACAGGCTCGGTATGTTTATGTAATTTATAATTTGTAGGACCCGACTGATGCACTGGAACTGTGATTAAAAAGTCATCGTTCCGCCGTAGATAATTTAAAGAAAATGACACTAGAAATTTATAATGATCTCAGTCCAATTCAGAGGCATTTTGCCTACAAGTAAATGGTGTCACTTTTGGTTTTGAGTTGATATCATTGTATATGTTGTAGTATTCATTCCGCATATGAAAAGTTTTGTCTTGCCCAATCAGATTTGTTCTCTTTCATTTTTATGCGGTTGTATTTTGAGTGACAACAAAGAATAGGTCGACTTTCTATAGTACATTATCACTGTCCAGTGACTTTTTTTCAAGATAACAAACATAATTTCATCTAATGGCATCGATTTTTCATAATTTTGTGCGGTGGACTCTCACTGTTTATTCATTGAAGAGGGCCTTAACTTTTTAATTTAGGAAAACACCTCTGAGATATAGTGATTGTTATCCATATAGAACTGCGTTGTGTTATAAAATATAGATAAAGTTCATAGGAATACAAACAATTATGCGTGTGTATGGGTGTCTATGTATAGACGAATTAGAATTAGAACATCAGGTAAAGGATTTGTAGTGTGTTTATTTTCTAGGTTGTACATATGGATAGAGATTACATGAAGGATGATGTGAGCAGTTTATGTCAATATAACTAATTCAACTCAACTGCATTTGGGGGGTTTAGCTTATCGAACATCATATATTTTCCCCGGATGAAATGGTCTCATCCTTCCGTTGTTGGTCTTTCCCAGTCGGTTGTCAAACAATCCCAAAATATACCGGAATTGGTAAAACCAGATGCCAACCGGACCTAACTTATGAAACACCAAATTTGTATTATTTTCTTTTAAAACTGATATACAGTAGCATGGACGACAGATAAAAAGAAACACTACAGTATACATGTACATAGTTCATGTTAGGATGGGCCATAATGGCGGATAAACAATCTATTTTTAGACTTAATAGTTAAACATTTGATTCGAATTCCTCATCAGTCTGGCTTGCACTGGTTCGATCTGGTTAGAAATCCCTTGCAATGAATGATGTAATATCCACCGCGTTGCTTTGTTTAAATACGGTCATCTATAAATAATGTATTCGTGTATCGACCAAACTGTAATGACCAGAAACACACCCACGGACGTATTTTGTGTAAACCCCCTTAATAAATAGACATGCCTTAAAAATGCATTATGTAAGAGCCCGATCAGCCAATTGCAGGTTTTTATCTGGGCTTCAAATGTTACATAAATTATTATTTAGATATTTATTCAAATGACAAACCTATAATCATCTCTCTGTGCCATCGAATGGCGGAGATGTAACCGATTGAAATACGATCGTCATTTAATGATTTAATTTAAAAAGGAGAAGCGGGCTGAGTATCGATAAAGTAAACATTCTTATAGACCACGTCTTGTAAAAACTTCAGAGTGATAAGGTCGCTCGGAATAAACTAATTTGAATGAAATTGATATTAATCTTGAATTATCTAGCATAATCATCCATAATGTATCTTTTAATAGTGTCGTATAATTGGTAGCCTTGGTAGATTATAATTTTTTCACAACTATTGGTCGGAACTAGAAACACAACGCGGATGGTCCGGACCCAATCTGTTTCACAGAGGATTACGAAAGTCTTCTAATATCTCTGCAAAAGATGACTGCCTTCAACACGTGACGTCACATCACGCGGCGTCAATGATTGGCTCAGTGGCGCGTGCATTTTTTACATAAGACGTTACTGGTTCCGGCATTTTAATACCCATTTACATTAAATAGGAAATATTTTTTGCCTACAAATTCTTCAAACGGCTTTATTTATTTGTCTAACACATAAAAAGATAGGTTGCCAGGCAACGAAACACACGCCCACAGCAGCTATATCGTCCGGCAGTCAACAAGAGTTGTCACATATTTTTACTTTTTTCGGTAATGAAACATTATAATACATTAAAATCTGATTAAGAGTAACAACTCACTAAGTAATTATCAGAAAACCATTAGAATTTGTTTTTTTATAAAGTTCTGTCCCATGCTAACGTTTAGTATACAAAACGTTTAATATCATGGATTTAGCTGTTCAAGTCATAAAGATTCATGAAAAATAAATATACTTGTTCGTCTTAAGATCTTAAACACTGTGTATAAATTTAAAGTCAATCGGATATTAACTTGAGCCTCTAGAGCGTCCACAAGATTTTTCAAAGTGATCAAGGGCCATAACTCTGGCAGTAATTATCGGAAATCGTTGAAAATCAATAGGTTTCTTCGTCTCATGACCTTAAACATTGTGTATAAATTTAAAGTCAATCGGATATTAACTATACGGCGGGACGATTTACCCAATACTACCCAATACCACTCCAATATCACCACATACTACCCAATACTACAACATAATGGTGCCAAATGATCATATTACTTGATCTTTTTCAAAAATAGTGGGATATATCGTGGGAAATGTACTTCAAGTTTGATTACCGATGTCTGGCTGTTCCATTTGCCTCCCTATATCACCCAAATCAAGCAAATAATAACCCAATACTACCAAATACTTATCAAATACTACCAAATACTACCCAATATTATAAAATACAAACCTAATATCGTCAATTAGCAGCACACCAGTATAATAGTTGCAACGAATATTCGATAATTTACAGAAAATTGAAATATACTCAGCCAAATTAAAAACTTGACACTGATGAATTTCACGTGATGGTTGAGCATATAAAGATGAAAAACCTGAAAAACACGTGCAAACACAAACTCGTGAGGTCAATCGATGCAAGTTTGCTTAAACTGAACACGCACACGTAACTTGAACTGGAAAACAAATTAAAATTGTTATTTTCATCTTTGTTAGAAAATGCCGCGCCTTTCAAATGTAGAATGTCTACATGCTATAGGTAGGCTCTATGCTGGTCAGTCTGGGGTCACTGTTGCAAGAACCTTTAATTGTTCACGCCAGACAATAATTAATGAGAGATCTTTAAACTGGAACTATAGCCGACCGCCCAAGGGCGGGAGCGCCACGTGTGACGTCACTCCAGGAAGATCAAGCAATACGATTACGTCATTTTAGAAACAGATGTTTGGTGGAAGGGTAACTGCACAAACTGTTCAAAATCGCTTGCAGGCTGCTGGTCTTCGAGCTCGGAGGCCCTATATTGGACCAATATTGACACCTGTTCATCGCCGTAACCGACTTGTGTGGGCCACAAGACAAATAAGATTTACTCAAAGACAGTGGAATTTGGTTGTCTTTAGTGACGAATTTCGATTCACTTTGAGATTTGCCAATGGCAGGGTCCGAGTGTACCGCAGACGAGGTGAACGTTGCGCTCAAGTATGCGTCAGAGAAGTTGACCGATTTGGTGGCGGCAGCGTCATGGTTTGGGGTTCTTTTTGTGCACATGGACGTTCTCCTCTTGTTGTTGTCCAAGGGATCAGATTTTGCAACCTGTTCTTCTTCCGTTTATGCAGAGACATGGGTCTGGACTAACGTTTCAACAAGACAATGCTCGACCCCATACAGCAATTGCTACCCAGAATTTTTTAAGAAATGCCCGTGTCCAAGTCCTGGATTGGCCGTCGCTTAGCCCCGACCTTAATCCTACTGAACACATCTGGGACGAACTGGGTCGACGTGTTCGTCAGCAAGTGAATCCACCACTGACGTTGCAGGACCTTCAACATGCTCTTGCTGAGCAGTGGCGACGTCTTAATCGGGTAGTGTTTACTAATGTTCTGAGATCCATGAGAAGACGTTGTGTGAATTTCATTTTGGGGGGTACTTTGACATCACGAACGTTATCAATGTCAAGGACTTTCGGCGAGACGTATTCTTGCTTTCTGTTGATGTCAAGGTCGTCTGTGCACAACATAACACTAAAATAGTTGCCTTAAACCAAATATTAAAAATCTAATCCCAAAAATCCCGAGTGTCAAGTTTTTAATTTGGCTGAGTATATTAACGCAATATCTCCCTTTACAACTGACAATAGATTTTAGATTGCTACTCAAATTAATCATCTTGTTGGGCTTTGCAGTTTGTTTCCAAGACGACGAAGTTAAAATAAGGAAAACAGGTTATTATAGATGACTCCGCTATAGGGTTATAAAATAAACAGTCAAATATCCAAATAAAAGAGTATTTTAGAGGTTGCAATTTTAAAATGTTCTTTTAACGGTCTCGTGATCTATTCAAAAGTCTTCTTGTACTATAATCCCTGGTGATTTTAGTATGATAACACGATGTCTACTTGATGGGTTAGTTGTATTTTACGTCCGCTTCCACCGAAGCACTTGTCTTTTAAATGATTCTGGTTCCAAAATTTCACCGATTCTTCGAATATTGTCACTATTGAACAAATTCGTTGTTGTTA